CTATTATTCGTCTTGGAGTGCGTACAGTATTGACTCCAGTTTCTGCTATCAATTCATTTGTTGGTTAATTTTACCCGCTTAACTACTACCAATATCGATCTTTATTTACCCCCTATCTACACTTGACGGCCTTTCGATAATCTGGGTTGACTGGTGAAAGGGCTTCTTCTCAACATGCAGTAATTTTGGGATTGAGGTTAGGGTTAGATATGATGAAGTAGTGGTAAAGCGGTTGTGCAGTAGGAACAAGCCAACATTCGACAAGATCGGACTAAGAAAACCGATTCTATCTTATTTGTTGATGCGCAAACCTGGTGATCGTCCTTGTTTGGCTCGCTGTCTTATTTATTTACTTATACGAAATGTTCACGCTCAAGTAAATACAAATATATATCTCAATATATTTTATTAGTTGTTGATTCCAAACATCCTTTTGTGTTGAGAATAGAAAGGGAATGGAATAATCCCGTGAGTTGAAATAGGTGATAACAGAACATCGTGAAAGTGATGAATCAGTAGGCCATTTTCAGATAAATGTGATTTTTTTTATTTTTCTCAAAAGGGCAACGGATAAGGGAACCGTTTTTCTAATCACTCTTCACGATTAATAATTTTCAAGTAAAAATTAAAGAATACTCACTTGAATTTCATCCTCATTAAAGCTTTTTGATTGTCGACTGTCTACGGAATCGTCCTCATCCACTTTAGAGCTCTTATTTGGATCTACACTTGTGCTCATCGAGGTTAAGCCAGTTGTACCAGGTTTGCACGGGACGTAGCGTACGCTGATCGGACTGCTTGTGGTCTCTTCCGAAGTGTCTTCCGAGCATGGTGGTGCTGACCGACTGCGTCGTGAGGTGGATGAAGATGAGGAAGTGGCTACACGCGGATTGGACGGGAATGGGAGGTTTTATTACACGTAATATTATTCCTTCAGAAGTAAACTACTTACAAATATCAAAGTAGTTAAAAAGTAAACTTGAATCCACCGCAAAGCATAAACCGAACAATGTGTTTGGTATCAAACGGTTTATTCCACCACTCAATGGATCGGTCATTCAAGAAACCAAAAGTCAGTTGCCTATGATTACCTGCATACTAATCAGGTTATTGTATATTATCCGTATCACGCAGTTGAAAATGTTCATCAGAGCAATGCAGTTGTAATTATAACTTCTGTAGACGTCAAGCGCACATTTCAGTCAAAAGTGTACACAGCAGAAAAAAGTCAGGTCCCGAAACTTTGATGAAAGTGTGATAAAACCTGTTATCTTTCAACCAGAATTCCTGATAAAGAGGGTGATTTAGAGTTACCAATATATGGTTATGCTTGATGGAACACAACGATATTGGGATCTAGTTGACGGATGGGAACGACAGAAAATTGACTCTATGTGCAGTGCAGGTGTGTGACCCAGAGGAATCTTGTGTGTATTCAAATGGAGTTCATACAGATTGGTCATTCACTCGACCACATTGCAAAAGAAAGCACAAAAGAACATCAGAACCAACACCCGATATGGTTTTCGTGACATGCAAAAACTTGATAATTTCTTCTTTCGAAACAGTCTTTACTTGAACACCATTATCCACGGCCAATGGCGTGATGCCATCGTTCTATGTTTGGATAAATGTTGTGTTAACACTGTCTAAATGCGTTGCACAATCCGGAGTTTTCTGCTTTGGCCCTGTACAAAAATTTGATGCCTTGTCAAAGTCGTATATTATGTCAATGTCACGTAGCTAGTCTCGTTACTTAAGCACCATACAGTGCGAATGATGCTACTTAATGTCGGCGAATGTAATTCTCTACCGATATCGCTGTTATTAACATTATAACATTCACAATAAAACAACACATGGTGCATCGATTTTTCGACACACTCCTAGTAACATTTTGTCTCTTTAGATGTTCACCACCCCATCTGTGGTTGTTTCTATGATCCTCTCACGGTCATAATCAGTTTGATGAACCAAATTGTTTGGTTTGGCTGACCGGTTCTGCNGTTCTGCTATTTCGTATTCGCACCCACTGACCGGCTAGCGATGCATTTGTGCTGTTTAGTATTGCATTCACAAATACATCAATATTTTTTGATCTGTCACTTTGTAAATTATGCTCAGAAATGCTTGTTTGCGTTCAAATCCTACATTTTGTTCAAATCCACCCGGATTCTCAATGAGAATTGGGAATGTGAAAAAGCATTGGTTTTCCAATCAACCTGTCTTGAAGATTTCAAAATTATTTATGAGATCGTTCATCTCCTTGGTTTTGATCGACTATTTCACAAAGTACTTTTTCTGTCACTTTTATCGGCTTTGTACAAAACGCACGGGCATCCGCTTCATGATTTATTACAAAACTGCAGAGTGAATAATTCATGGCTAACGTTTGACTCCTCGTGTGTGTGCGTTTGTCGTAGGTCGTAGGTCGACTGGAACAATGCCAATTTGCACGCAACACAATTGTCTTTCTGAAACGGAATGACAGAGTGAGACGGAAGGAAGCTGAGCGGATTGTATGAACCCTCCCAGCACAGCCCGTCACGGATCAGAAAGTTGTTGCTCAGTTTGAATAAAATAAACCGAAACCAAATTGCATAATTCATTTCGTCGAGTGAGAAACCGGTTTGGACTGACGGATTCGACACAAAGACGGAAATCTAATGAAAACCGTGAGGACACAACCAGATATCGGTATTCGAGCTTGTTGGTTCGTAATTTTATGAAGTCATGGTGCCGGCCGAGATGGACAACAAATCGCGTTGAATCCGAATCGAATGCGAACCTCACCACATAAACTAAAACGAAACCTTTGATGGATCAGTCATTGTCTTGGCACAATGTGGACTCGGATACAGGGGAAGAGGTCAGAAAATACCGGGTGCTCGATACTTTGTTCTGTGGTTGCGCACAGATGCCATATTTTATTAGTTTATGATCATAATGAACAACTTGTTCGGTGTTTTACATTGTACACTTTGAGTGCATCAATTCTCCGATTTTCATAGCAAAGGATCTTCGATATAGCACCGGATCACGAATACCATCACCGGTTCACATTTAACGATGAATAGAAGATAGGTACATGCTTGATTTCTGTCCTAGGAATGTGAATTTATAGGACCGAATCAACGTATTGTTCTTTATTGAAGGCGCACCGTGTTTAGTATGGCAAAAGTGTATCGTTTAGCTCACTAGAAATTTTTCACCGTCAAAGCATTTTCACGGAGCGCAGTTAGCGGTGTCTACCGCACTCCTGAACTTTTTAAAACGAGAACAAAAAGATGAATTGTGCGCTAGAACGTGCGGCGCAAACTATCCGAATCAATGGGGTAGATGGACTTAGCAGTGGACTCAGTTGCATCGGTTGATGCTACTGGCGGGATTACTTTTGGGCGCACATACACGCGCATAAACATGTGCCAGAATGGCGGGAGAATATGTCAATTCTACCTTGATTGAAATTATTGAGTAAGTATTGGAAAAACTGTTCGATCAGGGCGGAATGACACTGTGACACTGTGTTAGCCTTACTACTCACTGCTGGACAGTAGTGCACACTGATTGGACGGCAGTGACGGGAAAAAGGATAATTCCATTTTTTGTTGACAATATATTGGAGGGGTAGTGGTAGTACAGTTTTCTTGCTCACACATTGTTCACGGAAAAGCTTTGTGTATATTGATTGTTTTTGGAGTATCAGCAGTTTTCGATAGGGGACACTCATCCGGTTCTGTGCCGTTCCGAACCACGGTCCGCTTTGAGTTCTCTCTAACTGACTGCGATGTCTTCGACAAAGGGGGATGAAAGTCGCCCGTGAGCCGAAGGTCGATCGGCTAATGCACGTCTTCGTTGTTTCAGTTTTTGTTTCATGTTAACTTCCGTTTATTAAACACATAATGATACAATTTTCAGGAAGGGGACAGTCAGACGGTGGTGGTCGAATTCGAACACGCGCTTTCCGGGGTGATAATTTGGTGACGTTACCAACGGGCCACCACCGCCCGGTAACAGTGTCCCAAAGCTTCCACTGTATTCACCGTTTGAGTTACCATTGATGTATGAAGAAATTCTAACTCTTGGTTAACTCGGATTTTTTTACCTAAGATCTAGGTAAATGGGTAGATGAGAGCAGCCTTTGAATACGGTATCATGAGTTTATTGTCTAATATCTAAAGAGGGAGGGACAGAAAGTATAAGTGATAATTATTCAGTAATCAGATAGATGAACACTGAAATGGTTGCTTTCTTTCACAACTTTGATATCAACAGAAAGTGTATAACTGTTTTTTCAACATCTGAAAAATCATAGAAGCACTTACATTGTAAATTGTTAGAGGGTTGAGTTGATTCGGACAAATTCCCAGTCACAGTTTTCGGGGATGTAGGAATCGGGGCAGAATTTTCCTGAGGTTGTTCCTTGTTTAAAATGCTCTGAGATGTTTCTTCCGATGTCTGTAAATCAGGCTTTGATAAAGTGGATGCATTTCCGGACTCGAAGTCGGCTGACACAGAAGCTCCTGTCACAGTTTCACCCCCCAGATTGTGACCGACTGAGCTTCCATCGACTCGATCACTCCCAACTGTACCCGTCGTAGTGATTTCTGATTTGGCTGGACCCGAGTGTGCTCCGTCTCCGATCAAACCGACTGAACTGCCGCTGGTTGAGTCCGCGTGCGATGAGGCCTCACTATCACGCAAAATGCTTTCGTATCCACTGCTTGTGTGACCCCCACCTCGCCGGGGATTGCCTTCCATTACGGACACATTGACACCCTTGTTCAGCAGACGACGACCATCTCGATGTGTATCGTCTGTAACTAGACTGGCACCACCACTCACTGATCCACTTCCATCCGCTAGGGTTGAGTGTGGATCCTGTGTGGGAGGAGCGTGGGAAAACAATCTTGGAGAAACCAGTTCATCTTTTTGACCGGTTCTCAATCTATTCGGAACACAGAGGCTACCACTGTCCGAGCTACGTTGACCTACAGAACGACCGGTTACATGTCTAACCTCTGTTAGATTTGTTTCTCCGAGTCGAGCATCTGTATGTGCACCGGAATGACAGTGAGTACCATTACCTCGAGGACTGTAGTAGGGTTGGGGTGGGTGGGAGGATTGTCCACGATGCTTATGATGATGGTGATGGTGGTGATGATGATGATGATGGTGATGATGCTGCGCGTGATGTCTTTTGCATTGGCAGCGCAAATGCGGAGATTCGGGATCATTCATATGTTCACCCATATGATACATCAAATTCGTACTACATTCACTTCCGTGACCGCTACTCGATTGTATGGAAGAGAAATTCGAACGGCTCGGTGTCGCGTAAGGGACAACCGCTCGCGGATCCGTAGTTCCGGTTGTAAACGTCACCGGAATCGAGTTATCCATCACGGTTGTCCGTGTTTTACGGCCGTATTTGGTTGCATTTTTCTCTCTTCTCAAACATCCACTTCGGGGTAAGGAGCTGGATGTGTCATCCTCGGGTGGTAAACCTTTGAGACCTGAAGTGTTATCTATCCACGATGACTGGTTATGATGACACGAGCGAAGTTCCAATTGGGGACTCATCATTTGTGGTTTCGTCGACGAGATGGACGTGAGCACCGAGGTTCCTGTTTGAACCGACGTCGAGGATACGGAGAAACAAGCTCTGCCTTTGGTTTTCCCGTTTGAGGATTCAGGGACTTCGGGAATGGTTTTGTTCGCCTTGGAATCTTTTTCTTCCTGAGTAACCGTTTGCTTCTCCTTACGTTTTCCGAATAAGGGACTTGTGAGAAAACTGAGTCGTCCTTTTGAGACCTAGGAAGTGAATCAAAAAAGGTAAAATGACAATTATTTCCATCATAAAAATCTGTACTAATTCCACATTTTCATAGTTTGGCAGCTAATAAACTGTTTGTCAGACTTCGGACAAGATAAATCAATATGAAGCATTTTAACAGTCTTGGTTTCTATGATGATCCTGCTAGTACCGGTTAAAACTGCGCATCTTACACCAATTTCATCAATTTTACATATGATTTACCTCTCATAAAAGCGTAATTACGGAAACAATATTTCTAGTGCAATCACGGAAGAATGGGCGCTGTTTATCACCTGAACATATCCACGTGATAATAATATGCTTGAATTCGATGTTTGATTGTTTGACTTCCCTGGTTTGTATAGCAGAATCATACCTGTACCGAAAGCCGGGTAACGTAGTAAACAAGTCAAACTGTCCGTTTTATATTTAGTCCGAACGTAATATACATAGATAGATAGTCTCAAATTTGATTACGCAATTGCGATCAACACACTCACTTTATTTCGTGTTCCTTTCGTTCCTTTCGGGGTAGGTTCGGGCACAATTTTCTGTGTGGGGAACATCGGCCTAGTTCGTTCAGCATCCATTCTATCGGCTATCAGTTTCCGTGCAGCAGCACTCGTCCGGAAGCATTCCTGTCTTTCACATGAGTGACAACTTTCGTCGGACGAACAAAAACCAGGCGATCGACAGTTCTCATCCAGTTGCTCTGGCCTAGAAAACCGATCGCATTTCTCGGGCGGTACTGGTGTCGACTGGGTAAGAATGAATGATTTCTTTTGCACTTCAGGGGAGAAAAATTTTCGCGGTGTGTGAACCAACGAGCCGCAAAGGAATGTTCGATTCATTGCAGTTGTGTTGTAAATCTCCTCAGGGACAGGGATTTCATGTTGTGCTTGTCGCGTGGCTGACTTTTTGGTTGTATTACGGAAGTGCGAAAATAGGGGATGTCTTTTTGTTTTAACCGCACTATCGGTTTCACGCCCGAACGGATCTGTCTGATGTTCGGCACTCCGCGGACGTGTATGTTCATTGTGAATTTCATGATGCAATTGGGGATTGGACGAACCGTCCGGTCGACGTAACGGAGAGATTTGGTCGTCAAAAGCGGGTGGTTTTATACTCGCACTAGACTCCAGACCACTGCTGTTACGTTCGACACAAATAGGGCCAGTTGAAACTGAGGGCGCAATTTGTTTGTAGGCCCACTGGGGGCTGGGAGAAATTGGATGAGGCTGGGGTTCTGCATGTGTTGTAGACACGTGTGAATTTTTCAAGGAAGCCGGGGGTACTGAACGACCCCGACGTGGTCTACTGTGCTCTGCTTGCGGTGTGTTTAACGGATGTTCGCAATGCGCATGAGGGCATGGTGGGATGTCCCTGGCGGTAATGTGCTGGGTGATCAGCGTCGGAGGTTGGGGAATGTGACACGTGTGTGTGGGAATACCATGTAACCTTTGTGGTGTTGGGAGGCATTCCGGACAGAACGGTTTCTCTGACCCCGAATAGACCTCCATTGTGTGACAACAAGGATTGATGGGAGAGACAACCATGGTTTTTAATTTGGCCGGCTGCGGTACACCACAAGAAGCGTCTACAAATGGCATGGTCAGCGAGGGTTTGAGGTATCGATTGTTGGGATCGTCCCTCTCAGCCACAGGCACGGAAATACCACACGTCTCTATTGAGACAGATTTAACCCATTCGGCTATTCTGGCGAAGTTTGATCCGATTGGTTCTTCACTTGTTTGGTATTTGACACCAGTCTTTTTCACTGGAACGTGACAGTTCGGATCCATTACGGGATGCTCCGTATTGAACGAGTGTTGTACGGGATGTGAAATTTTGTTGAAACGTTCACGAAATCTGGGCAACAGGGGGTGAGGAAAAAAAGAAACAACAACTCATTTAGATCTTAGTAAACATTCCGCACAATGCCCCTGATGTACAAACTTTATTTTGATCTGTGTTCGTTCGACTGCTGATAATGTTCAGATGAGTACACTATAGTTAACAATGCAACACTCACTCGTGATGTCTTTGGGGTTGAAGTTCTGTTCCGATTTCGCCCACAAAGGCATTCAGGCCAGCATTATCTGTCTGAGTTCCTCGAGGTTGTGTGTCCGCCATTGCAATGACTGTCGACTGGATCTAAATTAGAGTATACGGTTCGGAAGGGAGAGGGATAAGTTGTTTCGTTCTACTGACATAATTACGAAATAGTTCTTAAAATATGTGATGAATGGAAGAAAAATTGCGAACAAACCCTTCAAGTTTATCCGACTGAAGCCCAAAAAGAACTTCGCGGAATGTGACTTTTGTAACGAAGAATTGCCCTTATGTAGAACAGCCATTGTGATCGACCCAATGTTTTTAGTTTTTGATGGAATGTGTAAAAATGTCAGAATGGTGTTCTTAGTTGTACTCAATCATTTTTACTTTCAAACTACTTACGAAACTGATTTGAACGGCACGCCCTTCGACTGGCTATCCCACAATTTCTCTTAGTACCGTCGCTCTGAGAATATTTCACTTTCAAATAACATTCACTTGAAATTCGTACACAAAAGATGCACTTTTACGAATCAAAATTTTTTCACACAGTACTTCCTTGTTCCGCCAAGATCGCCAATCGAACAGAAGAAGCAAAACGGCCGACCCACTTGATGGCACAGTGCTCCCAGGCGTACGGCTCCCGAAAAGATGATTCTTCCCTCTGTGGTCTGCAGGGACGTCTGATGTTTATTGAGAAGGATGACACATTTGAGGAGCCTGACGATTTCTCGCATTAGCTCCAATAATGGTGTTTTGTTCACAATGATCTAGATTAAACACAGACAATAAAGAAGGATTCGATGTCCTGCCCAGATGGTTATATTTTCTTCCATCAAAATAAGGAAGGATGTCGGCGGAAACCCGGAAGCGGTTTTGTCACCTTTCTCATATCCTCTTGGCACGGCAAATTCGATTGTTTGACTTGTAGCCCTAATTTTTTACCCTTTTGCTCTACTGTCATCGGAAATCTGTGGATCGCACCCCTTTTGTTCCTCGATTGTTTCATGTCTCATGCCACGATACCTCTGCTGATTGCAGTGCTTGGTTTTGTCAGTTGTTGTTGATGCTTTCCCCGCTTCTATCTTCTTCTCAGTGTAAAGGACCTAGGTGTCACTCTTCAAGGTGCCCTACTTTGACCTTACATATTCCCTACTTACCTCAGTGATTTATCCGTTGTCTCACTTGCCAGCATTATGAATTACGTAGATGAGCTGTTTAAAATCAGCCTGATTTCCTTTTATTTTATCTGGTAATTTGACTGCCATTCAAAACGTTTCCCACTAATCGTACCCAATTCTCAACTTATCTGAATGCTTTAAGTATGTCTTCGCTCCTTCGAGTTTCTCCTACCTCAAAAATGGTTCTGCTGTTTGTAGACGTGAGACACTATCAAGTACTTTGGAGTTGCCGTGGAAAGTAGTTGCAAACGGTTCACCCATATACGGCGTACTGTTGGCAAACTCAGACGTTTGTCCTAAATCGGCCGGTTGAGATAATTTACTGTCAAACAGTCCACTATCTACTCTTTTGTTTATCGGTGTATTTTACCTATTATTCTCAATCGTTCTATTTCCGGCTTTCCTGATTTTCTTGTTCCTTCTCGTGGTCTAGTCATCATCAGCTGCGTTTTACTACTTCCTACAGACTATCCTTCTGTCCNACGCTTTGTGTACATCATCTCCACTGATTACACACGCACGCACATCTCTGTTCCGACCCATCTGTCCCTCATTTTGATTCTTCAACAACGTCGAGTTTTCGACTCCTTCCTGCGAGAACTAACATCCACGTGTTCAATACGGAACAAGCCGGGGTGTCAGTTTTGTTATGAATAAACCCCTGTATACATTTCTTTTTTTGTTGTTCATGTGTTTCTCCGTAACCGCATTAGATTACGAGAGTCTTTTTTAACTGAACTGTGGGCTCATCTGTTTACAAAAGCCGGTATCGCAATACAGCACACAGTGCAATAATCCGAACACCTGCATGCTGGTCCGCGATTATCCCCGTCGGTCGAAGGCATTTCACGAGCTTCAATAACAAGAAATCTTCTTCTCCCGCTGTTGCTTCTGACAGTTTGTAAGATGCATATTTTTTCTCCATAATGTATGTTGATTTCCCATTCCTTTTGGAAATATTGTCATCCAATAAACCCATAACGGTGTTTTAATATATGATCTATCCACCTACAAAGTCTTGAGAAATTGAGCGTAAGTTAAATGATGTTATGCTCTGGTGCATGGCACTGAAGGCTGCAAAATGGCTGGACGTTGCACTTGTTCTTCTGGTAGGTGGACCATAAAGAATACTCAAAAATAGGTTCCCCTCGCTTTCTGCGGATCGTGATTCCATAACAACATCATCAAAGGTAAAACGTTTTTGTGTCACAGTATCGCACAACGGATCAAGGTCTGTACACGTTCAAAAGACCTGTAATGTCCGGCAGCTATCCTAGTTCTCACCGTGATTAGGAATGCTTTCTTCTCCACACATCGACTGTTAAGTTTGTGAATGCATACGAACCCGGACTGCATATACTGTATTTACGAAGTTTACCTAGAAATACCCTCACTTAGTAGCAAGATCTCCAAAAAAGATCCCCAAATGCAATGGCATTACTTGGTATACACTTGCTGGCTTCGTCATTGGCTGATACCCAAATGCATCTAAAGATGATACTTGAAAATGTTCAGACACTCATTACCCACTGTATAAAGAACTTACAAAAGTTGTATTTCCATCATTTACATGCCCAAAGTTTAACCCTTCATTTACTCCCATCTTCACACATTGCAATTCCCTTTTGTTGCATCTCACACGTCTAATTCTTAGCAATAGGGAAAGTTGTTTACAGAATGACAGAATTGCTTGTAAAGTTGGAAAAGTTAATATCTGATTAATTTTAGCATTAATTCGCTAATAATGTAAATTTTATATCCACAGATGGGGTGTGAAGAAGAAGCTGAAAATTGGCCTGGGAGCATAATACGCCACTGAATTATACGTGACCGAGTAAAACGTACCTCGCCAGTTTCGTTCAGTTCAATAGGTACTGCCGTAATCCCACTGTGCTTGTGAACCCAGTCCTTAACGAAGGTTTTCACCTTTGCCCCTGACAGATCAGTTTCGTCTGTTCTGGATGACTGTCTAGTCGTGGAACTTTTTCTCCGTGTCGCCGCAATGTGCCCGGGGTCCGCACCAACCAGTTCCAACCCCGTACTGATTGGTGGCATTGCAGGGACCATTGACATCTCGGGGACAGGAACTGGATGCGCCTCCCCTTGTTTGGCCTCGGCGATGGACCCGCTGCGAGTCATGAGTGAATCAGCCATGGCGCAAGTGGAACATTGACTACTCAAAGTCATTTCAGCCGCTCTGATTTGGATTGCTGTCCACGGGTGAGACAAACAAACACGAAAGGGGAAACAAATGAGTGTCTGCTTAGGAAATTACACATGTGAGTAATTGTTTGACCCTCCTAATATCCTAAAGTCAGATAACCTCACATTGGGCTTTTGCAAATCTCTCAGCATGTACAAGATTGGATAAATAAAGGGGTTTATAGATGTTTAGTCGCTTACAGAATTCGGCAACAGGATTATGAACGCATTATCATAACGTTACATTATTCTTACAGCAGTTTGATTAGCGTATACAAACTCCGAGCTCTACAGACAGCATCAGCGAACAAACGCTGCAGCCATTGTCCGTTCCATTTCTGTCTCACACAACAAACCTTCCAATGCACACTCACATCAACTGAGGGAAAAACAATTAAACGCCGAGAAATAAAAGTAATAGTATTATTTTTCAAATGTATCAATCCGATAAATCGTCTGAAGGAACAAACCAAACTGCTTAAAGAAAATGCAAGCATGCACCATTGACGAGACACCGATGAGATCAATAAAAGTAACCTGAAAAATTGATCAGACTCGCAAATCAACCGAAACCAACAAATCCCATTTATTAGAAACAAACAGTACAGAATGAAGGTGAAATTTGAAACAGTTGCCATTTCAAGGGGCTGTGAAAAATACACATAGTCGAGATACTGTTAACAGCAAACTTCAGGCTACGTCACGTTACAAACTAAATAAAGAATTAGAGAAAAGCTTAAAAGACATTGTCATTGTTATAAATATCCCATCAAAAACCCAAAAGAGTTTTATAAAAGAGGTAACCCTAGGACAGCAGATGAAATCATAGTGAAATCTGAGTCATCGTCTAGTAATTCAACGAACAACAGCAAATAGAATCCGTCAAAATTCTAGCAAGCTCCCTCTCCTCATCTTCAACTCTTGTTAGCTGAGTGAAAATCAACCAATCCGGTATTTACAATCGAATGGTCAAGTTTGACCAGAACCCAGACACCAAGCTTTAAAACAAAAAAGAACAAGAAAACAGAAATTCTCGGGTTTCCCAGTAGTAGTATCTTTAAGCATGTCCATCTTTGCCATTCTTTTTTTTTTACAAAGCTCGCATCCAACCGACATGTGAATTTCACAATTCCCTGTGAGATAAAGCTTTCTTCTGCCCCTGTCTCTTCTCGATCAGGGTGAAGATTGAGGCTAGCCACCCAATCAATTAGCCCTCGTTAATTCCTTCGGTTTGTCATCACTCTCCTTTTCTCAGACAGTAGTTACACTGGCTTCTTTTCTAATGTCATTATATATTGGCTATCGCTTTTCAGAACTCTATTTCGTGATCCCATTTCTTGTGTTCTTTCCTTGTTTGGTTGTATTACTGGAACCCAATAATGCCTGTGTCCCATTGTTTAAGACTTCCAACTTTCAGTATTCCCTTTCTACCTGCAGTGCAAATGTATGAAACCACTTCCTGTTTCTTTCCACCACTTACCGTCTTTATTTCAGTTTTTAACGAGAGTAACAAACCAATTGTCCTTCGAAGGCCTCCTTCCCCGCATATACCCACATATACCCTTCTTTCACTGATAACCACTTTAATTGTAGCTAAGATCACGGTATGTCAAAAGTTTTCAGTTCACGCCGGAGTCTGAGGTGTCTACCAAACAGGTCCCATAATCATTCATCTTCAAGTGGAGGTGTATTATAAAGCAAAATGAATATTCCTGTGTAAATGCAGACGATTCGCATGTATACTCTAAATGAAAAACTCTCCAAACCAGTCAACAGAAGACTAACATCTGTTTATCGTACCAGTTGAAGAGAGAGAAGTTTATCTCGGGAAATAAATGTTTCGATTTTCATCGCACAATTGTCAACTCACTTGCTGATTCAATTTGACTGGGATGTTGGAACACCTCATGTGCAGGCAAGGTTTTGGATTTCTCCAACGCGACTGCCTGCTGTTGTTGTTGTGAAGAACGCATCGGTTTCTCATCCATTGGTGAGCTGAAAGAGTGTATTCTGGTTCGAGATGCGATTGAGTCTGTGTACATGCTATGTGTTGTTGAACCGGGAGTTTTGGACTGTTCCACAGCTGTCGTTGGCTCCGAACCGAGACATTGAGGGGATCGAGTATCCACTTCGGTTTGATTTGTACTTCCAAGGGGACCGGATTCATTGTGGTCCGGCAGTTCTTCTGCCTGGGTTTGCTACATCATACAGTCGAGAGGTAGGCAATATGAATGGCACCGATAAATACAAGCACATTTACTCATTGTCCATGCAGATGCAGCGAATACGGCGAAAAATAGAATTTTCGATAGTATGTACGATAATTTTAAAAGGATCTTGTCTTTGGAAAAGGTTATCCATTCCCAAGTATACATTCATATGTTCCTCCCAATGTCTGTGTGTGAAGCCCTTATGCCACCGACGGAACCTTCGGTTGACGAATAATATGGAATAATATCTGAAAGTGATACAAATGGTGAGTGAGCTGTATTTTGTAGAGGAAGCAAAACGTGAAAAAGTGAACATCCGTGTGGCACAGTGAGTTTCTTCACGGAGAAATGTGAACTGAAAGGCTGTAAAATCCACATTTGTGGGTCACGTAGGCAGTGAAAATCCATTGACCTAAGTAGGCAGCGAACACAGAACATGGTCACGAGCGGGGCCTTTGAATTCGGCCGCGNGAAAATCATATTTACACTTTTGTGGATTTATTCGTCATCAAATCGCATTGTTATCAATTTCAAGGACACGAAATGCTATCCTACACGAGCACGTTCATGAAATCGTTATGTGTTATCGCGCGAACTGCACCTTTTGTGAAATATTCCAATAATGTGAGAAATAAATTCAAGCGGTTGATCAAAACACAAAACGGCGGAAAGAGAAAGCATCGAGCAGGCTGGCAAGTCGTTCTCA